GAGAACGCGCAGCGCTCGGAGCAGCCCGAGAACGTGCAGCGCTCGGAGCAGCCACAGGACGTGCAGCGCTCGGAGCAGCCAGGGGACGGGCAGCGCTCGGAGCAGCCCGAGAACGCGCAGCGCTCGGAGCAGCCACAGGACGTGCAGCGCCCACACCGGAACGCGGCCGCGCCGACTCAGTTGGGCGGACTAAACTCTCGTGTTCCACCGGCGTCTAAGGCGAGGACAAAATCCCGTGTAAAGGGTAGGTCGAAGGCCGGGGATAAGGTCAGGTCGTCGAACGACGAGACCACTCATGACCATAACCCAACTGTCAATGGTGGTAAAGTTGCACAGCATACACGTGCACTTGACGGTATGGCTAGGAACGATGTCGGTGGCCCATCTAATGAAAGTCACTTTAACGAAAGTCATCTGGACGATATTGCAAACGTGAGTGTATCTATTTCAATCGTTTAGTGACATTTCAACTGATGGTACGGCGATCGAGCTGGGAGATGTTGTCATTCGTGCCTGGGCCGAGCATTCGACCGGAATTGAAGATGTGACAATCTCTCCGCAAAGGGCGAAGACGGTGAGATGACAACGGCGCTGACTATGACAACTTGCTAAGTACTATGCTGTAGTTCGCGCTGTTTAGCTCATTGGCAGAGTCCATCGGCAGCGGCGAATGTCCCGGGTCAGGAAATAGCGGCGTCTTCGTGATGTCGGACTTAGATGCTTGTCTTACTTCAAGTTCGTTCGTCAACCAAATATTCAGGTCAAAGCATGTTCTCGTCAAGTCGACCAGTGGAGGTGACCCGAACTGGCGCTGGGGTCCCTCCGCGTTCTCAGCAATCCGCCCAATCATCGGCACTGTCGTGCAAGTCCAAGGTTATGGAGTCTAGTTGATCTACATTCTTATACTTACGTATATGGTGCAGATTCAAGTACATTGGCCTACCGGGACTCTTCCGACGCGACGACTACTACCATCCCACTTGTAGATCTTATCCGTGCTGGTCTGGACGGAAGCAATGTCGTTTTGAACTGTCTGGACCTACCACTCGGTCAGCAGGTTCTGGCACCAGTACCTTTCCAATCTCCTCACGAGTACGTCGACCTCGAGAAAATGTTGATTCCAGTAACATTGCGCTCAAATATGGCTTTGACTACAGCCACTGCAACATCGTACAACATCTATGCAACGTCGCGAGTCAGGATCCAACATTCGACGCATCAGAGTCGCGTAGTCCCTTGAATTGGGCTCTGGCTGGTACGACAGGAGCGGAAACCGTACAGCACATTGATACGGGCGGGTTTGGCACCGTAATACATGTCTTGAGTGGTCGTAAGTTGTGGATTGTTGGAACCCCGTTGGATGCGCACGACTTCGCCAATCACTCGGGCGCTCTAAGCAGGCGGGATTCTGAAGGATGTTGGGACTGCGTTTTGCCGGAAGGCATGAAGTGGGAGGCTCTTGTACTGGGGCCTGGAGATACGTTGTGAGTTTGCTGGTTACGTGCTTCCGCTTTCATCGCTGTATTCACAACGAGTAGCTATCAAAGACCCGGTACTCCGCACGTCGTCGTCACTTTGGAGTCGTCCCTTGTCTTCGGGCTGTACATGTATTCGCCTTCAACCATCGTGGCCTCAGCGGCTTCTTTCGCCGTGACCATGCTCGGCGATCGAATCGCTGCGAACGCTAGAGTGGACGGGTCGCTGCCGATGCTGTTGTCACTAGTATCGTGGTGGTGGAATGGCGATCTCGCGCTGAAGGATGGGGAGGCTTTGATTGACCCAGCCGGTTAGTTGATAATGTTCTATCGATCGTGTCGTCCGGTAAGCTAACAGTCAGGTAGCACGTGCCTCTAGGCCATCGCTGTTGGACGACCCAGCGACATACGTTGCGGCTCTGGCGATTTGCGTGTTCCAGACAACGCTATCCGCCACGACTTACGATCTAATCGATGCCAGAGGAATCGATCAGATGATATCAGCTCAGGACGGCCGCAAGTCGTGGACTGAGGCCGAGAACTTGCATCAGTACATCTTACGAAGCGGCATTGTCACTAGGACGGAAGAGGACGTGGACATGGATCTGGAAGAGGCCGATCGCGTCGCAGAGCTGCGCGATGTGATTCTCGACTATGGCCGGGCGATGCTTGCTATGGCCGTAGACCTTCATGCGACTAATAAAGACTTTAGCTTGAAGAAGTTGCGGCAGAATCTCGATCGCGACGTCCAGTACGCGTACGGCTTGCCATTAAAAGACTGGATCGATTCAACTGATGTGGCCCATCGCCCATTCATACCTTCCGTCACGTTCGTTCCCGACTACAAGCCAGATATCACATTCCAGTTCGCCTCCTCGTAATTACAGCCTCTCACGTGTTGGTGTTGTAGTTCCAATCACGTCAAATTCTTACATATACCTGTTGCATTATAAATGACGTTTGCTGGAAACACCGCCGCGTATGAATTTATGAATTGAGTTTACTTGCATGTGCACTTTCTCCGTCAGCCATGGCTAATTGTCATGTGTCATGGATGCCGGCCCGGTAGCTTGTGTGCATCCGTTTAAGGAAATGCACGAATCTTGATTACGCATATATCAACGGCGCCATGATTTGGACGACGCCCGCGTCTTGCTCTTGACCACGACATGCAAGTGCTGTGGTCGTCACGAATCGCCCGTTTTTACTCACTGGTCCTAGGCATTCCATTTTAAAATCCTTGTTACGCGCGGCAACGTTCTTTGATATAAACTGGGAACACCCACAGTACGCAGTCATGGTACGTGATGCCTTGTATGAGGTCTGTTGTATGCGTTAACGTCGTTTAGTGCCCATCATACCTCACCCTGCCCACAGACATCATGCCCGACATATTGGGCCACCTCGATGCACGGAGCCTGGTCTCTTTGTCTGCAACCAATACGCATTCACGTCGCGCTGCGCAGCTTGAATGGAGCAGACGAGTGCAGAAGCTCACAGGCATTTACCTCAATGACGTCCCTGCTTTCTTCGCGTTGTTGGGACGATTGGCTGGGGTTGTGTCGGGTTCTACGGCGCTGGCAGTATTGATGTCAGGGTCGCGTTTTGAGGGCGCGTGGTCCCGAGCTGGGGATCTTGACATTTATGTCCCATGCACAGATGCGCTAGGCACGTTGATCCACCACTTGGAGAGTTCGGAGGGATATTCCAGGATACCTATACACGACGACGATTTGGAGCGATATGTCGAGGAGCCAGCTTGCATACACTCCATTACTCGTCTGCGTCGTATAAACCCAGGCCGGGACGATATGGTCTGGACCCACTTGGACGTCATATGCGCGAGAGACGATGCAGCTACGCTGCCCATTGTAGCTTTCTGGGGAACGTTGGTCATGAACTACATTTCCAGCACTAGGATTGTCTGTCTTTATCCGAAGTTAACGTTGGATGGGTGCGGGGTGGAGAACCCTCATGCGGACCCTGGGCGAGTTGAAGTTGGGATGGGCAAGTATATGCATCGTGGTTTTTTCCTTTCGCATTTTGTCCATAGCCCTGTACGTTGCCTGGCATCGTCTTCATACTGTCCGTCCGTCCTTAGATTCACCGAAGATTCGCAATGCCTATCAATTACTTGGTCTACGAGCCAGTTCCGCGCGTCCCACAAACCTCGAGCATTGGCATTCAAATCCTACGATAATTCAGTCACCTCTTCGTTCTGGATATGGTCCCGTTGTTTATCTGTTGGTCATCCTCATTCTGATAGGTATGCGGTCGGTCGCTTGTAACTTGACATGGGCTCT